CATGTAATTCCAGATACTTTCGATTGTATACCTTGTCAACTTGCCAAACAACCTGCTTTATCATTCAATAAAAGTACTTCTGTTTCCTGTGCACCTTTTAATCTTATACATTCGGATATTTGGGGCCCCTCTCCTACTACTACTATGGGGGAATCTCGTTATTTTGTTGTTTTATTGATGATTTTTCCCGGTTTACTTGGATTTTTCTCATGAAAATTCGGTCTGAACTCAAAACCCTTTATTATCGATTTGCCCAAATGATCCACACCCAATTTTCCAAATCCATCAAACTTTTTCGCTCTGACAATGCTATGGAATATCGGGATTCAGATTTCCTTTCTTTTCTCCAGAGTCATGGTACATTGCCTCATCGTTCCTGTGCTAGCACGTCCCAGCAAAATGGCCGTGCTGAACGGAAACATAGGCATATTCTTGACACTACTCGCGCTCTCTTTCTCTCTTCTTCCTGCCCTGAAAGCTTTTGGGGGGAAGCTGTCCTCACTACTGTCTACACTATCAATTGTGCTCCTACCCCTGTCATTCATAATCAAACTCCCTTTGAACGTCTGCATGGCACTCCCCCTCGCTATACTAATCTTCGGATTTTTGGCTCTGCCTGCTTTGTTCTCCTTCAATCTCATGAACACACCAAGCTTGAACCTCGTTCTCGTCTTTGTTGCTTTCTTGGGTATGGAATTGAACATAAAGGTTTTCGCTGTTGGGACCCTCTCTTTAAACGTCTTCGTATCTCCCGCCATGTTGTTTTTTGGGAACACCAAATGTTTTCCTCCCTATCCTTCTTTCACTTACCTGCACTTTCCACTAATGTACTGTTTACTAATCCTTCCATAGATCTCTTCTCTGATGATTTTGATACAGGTTCCTCCTTCATTGAGACGCCCTTGCTCCCTCCTATTCCTGACCAGACTGCTCTCCCTGAAGGTCCACCTCTCCTTGCACCACCTTCTTCTCTACCGGTTCTTCTTCCCACTGATCCTCCTACGGGTCGACCACACTGGGTAACTCAATCTCCTATCCATCTTCGTGATTATATTGTTGGGTCTGCTGCCTTTTCTACTTATGAACCTACCTCCTATCGTGAGACTTGTACTAATCCTCTTTGGCAGCAAGCTATGACTGATGAACTTCAAGCTTTGGACAAAACTCATACTTGGGATCTTGTTGATCTTCCTCCTGGCAAAACTGCGATTGGCTGCAAATGGGTTTACAAAATCAAGACTCATTCTGATGGCTCTATTGAATGCTACAAAGCTCGTCTTGTTGCCAAGGGTTTCAACCAAGAATATGGGATTGATTATGAGGAAACCTTCTCCCCTGTTGCTCGGCTTACCTCTGTTCGCAGTTTACTAGTTGTTGCTGCTACTCGCCACAGGGAGCTCTTTCAAATGGATGTCAAAAATGCTTTCCTCAATGGTAATCTTCCTGAGGAGGTCTACATGCAACCTCCACCTGGGTTTACTTTTCCCCCTCATAAGGTTTGCAAACTACAGCGTGCCCTCTATGGCCTCAAGCAAGCACCCCGCGCTTGGTTTGCTAAGTTCAGTTCTACCATTCATGACTTCGGGTTCACCTCTAGCTCCTATGACTCTGCTCTTTTTATACGGACTACTCCTCATGGTACCACTCTTCTCCTTCTGTATGTGGATGATATGATTATCACTGGTAATGATGCAGCTGGTATTCTCCACCTCAAACGTCTTCTCCACCGTCAGTTTGAGATGAAAGACCTTGGTACTCTTAACTACTTTTTAGGCCTTGAAGTCTCTCATGATTCTACTGGTTCTTATTTATCTCAAGCCAAATATGCATCCGATCTTCTGGCTCATGCTGGTCTTACTGATTGCAAAACTACATCTACTCCAGTTGATCCTCAGATTCGTCTTACTCCTCTCGACGGGGCTCTCCTCCCTGATGCTACTCTCTATCGTCAGCTCGTCGGCAGTCTTGTCTATCTCACAGTAACTCGTCCTGACATTGCCTATGCTGTTCACATTGTTAGTCAATACATGTCGGCTCCTCGCACTCCCCACTATACTGCTCTCCTTCACATCCTTCGGTACATCAAAGGCACCCTGTTCCATGGCCTTCACTACTCTGCTTCCTCATCTCTGGAACTGCGTGCCTTCTCTGATGCTGATTGGGCTGGGGATCCTACGGATCGACGCTCCACCACGGGATTCTGTTTCTTCTTAGGGGATTCTCTTCTTACTTGGCGTAGCAAAAAACAATCCCTCACTGCCCGTTCTAGCACCGAAGCTGAATACCGAGCCCTTGCTGATACTACTCAAACTTCTCTGGCTTCGCTGGCTCCTCACTGATATGGGTGTTTCCTCTTTTGGCGCTACCTCTCTTTATTGTGACAATCAGAGTGCCATTCAGATTGCTCACAATGATGTTTTTCATGATCGCACCAAGCATATTGAGATTGATTGTCATTTCATTCGACAGCATGTTACACGTGGTACTGTTCATCTTCTCCCTATTGCTTCTGCCGATCAACCTGCAGATATTTTCACCAAGGCTCATCCTTCTGGGCGCTTTCGTGATCTTGTTTCCAAACTCAACTTGGTCGATGCCTACCCTCCTTGAGTTTGTGGGGGGCTGTTAACATATAATATACATCACACTATAGTGCATTTGTAGCTGTAAAGGGCAAACACCCACTACCGCACACTTTCAGCTTTAGCAGTAGCTTTTATATTGTTTTAATGTATTGTCTTATGCTTTCGGTACTCCATTGTCTCATTCTCCTCTCTATAAAGAGAGAGAGCTCATTCTCTTGTAAACACACAAATACAATAACAAACATTGTATATACCAATCTTTCATTTCAGTCTCTCTCTTTTCTCTCTCTCTCTTTACCAATCTTTCATGATCAATTACATTGGCTTGATTGCAAATTATAAGTACTCCCATCTATGGGTTAATTCTTACTCACTAGTCATGGAGGAAAAGAAAATGGACTTATGGTCAATTGAATGACATTATCTTAATACTTTCTTGAAGAAATTAATTTATAAATATAATTTTTATATAAAAATTTGTCACAATAATAATGTGATAATGGTACTTTTAAAAGTAAAAATAATTTTAATAGATGTTTCATTGTAAAATTATAACATCTAATTCTAAATAAAAAATTGTATATGAATTTTTATTTATATATCATTATTCAATTTATGTTATGATGAGGGCAAGAATTGAATAGCCTCAGTTGTGCAATTGTGTTTGAGTTTGAATATCTTTCTATTAACACTCTACTCAAAAGAGGGGGAAAAAAATTAGTTATCTCTTGGCAATATTTAAAAAAAGTCAATTTATTGATTAGATCATATCACTTTTCTATTTTTTTTATATATCTTTTCATAATAAGTAAAAAAAATCAATTTATAAACTATATACAAAACAACTTTATATCTTTTTATTTTATTTTATTTACTTTTAAAGAGAAAACATGATCAAACCTTGGATGAGAGTCATCATTCTATTTTGTGGGCTTTTATTATTATTATTATTAGCTAAAAATAAATTTAAAAAAAACGAAATTAATGTTACAAAAGTTAAATTGTCTGGTGCATTTCCATTTTTTTTATTTACTTTTATAATGATTTTTTAAAGTGATAAAATATTTTTTGAGGAAAAAATACATTATTTATTGAACATTTTTTTTTTTTAAAATTTTTTTTATAGCAAAGCTAATATTTTTAGTCAATAAACTAATTTTCAAGCATCCAAGCAAGTATGGCTGCAGTTGGGAGATCGCAACAATTGGTTTTTTTCACCATATGGCTTCATGGCGATGGGTTAGAAATCACATTTTATGCGTCCAGAATGCAGAAGACACTTTACACACACAGCCCTTTGCCATTCAACAAACTTTTGTGCAACAATTTGTGAACCTATTCTCGACAGCACAGGGGATGGATAGGGACCCTCCGGATGCAGGATGTTTCAAGCGCAACCAACGATACAAATTCATGGACGTTCATCATAGATGGTTCTTGGAAATCGTCTAATACCAAGGATGGGATAGGATGGATTTGCTTGGACCAAAACAACCAATGAAGCTATGATAATGAGACATCTTCAAAGTCCGTTGGTGGTAGAGGCGTACGCCTGTTTGAATGCAATCAAATGGACAGTACACCTTGACATCGTGCAAACGGACTGCCAAGTATTGGTGAGGATGCTACAAAAGCAAAGCAATAAGGATGATTGGCAGCTAACTGCTATTGTTGATGATATTATATATCTTATGCTAGATGTTTGGACTACCTAGGTATCCGTAAAGTAGAAAGAATTGTAATTCAACCCGCACATGTTGTGGCCACTGATGTAATTAAGTTAAAGTAATGCTATCCTTTTTATGTCGTTCTCCCAAAAAACCAAAAAAAAAAAAAAAAAAGCGTAAATGAAACACTTTTTTAGCGACGTGTTGTCCGAATTTGAAGACTATGTGCTGCCAAAAAAGAAAAATAAAACCATTTTAAATTTTGTTAATCAATGTAAGCTTGTTAAAGTCTTGTTTGGTAATGTTTGCTTTCATGTTTTTAAAAATATAAAATTGATTAAAAAGAACTTGTTTTCACTTGCTTTTGAAATAAGTTAGTCCTATTTTTTCTTTCCTATTATCTCTCGCTATCATTTATTATTGGCCATTCAATAACTCTGTCAAGTTTTAATGAGCTCTAGCCGCCATGTAATAGACTCTCGTAATTGAACGGTCATTTCATATAATCTTTTATCATATTTCAACAACTCTAATTATATGTAACTGGTGACGACACTACTTTATACAATTTTACCACTACCGTCACATGCCACATCTATCCACCACTAGCCAATACTTTCAACTGACTCATCAAATATAATTTTTGTTTTTATTTTCAAATATTTTGTGTATACTAAATTTGTTTATTATTTATTTATATTTTTTACAAAGTAAGAACTTCCTCAACCCCCAACTAGTATAAAAATTGAGGTGTGTATAAATTGATCTTTCCTTGGAAAATCAGCGTTGAAGAAGAGAGAGAGAGAGAGAGAGAGAGTGGAGAAGAAGAAGAAGACAGCACAAGGATTCTCTAACATGTCCGGAGGCATCGCTCGTGGTCGGCTTGCTGAGGAACGAAAAGCCTGGCGTAAGAATCATCCACATGTTAGTTCCATTCCACTCTCTCTCTCTCTCTCTCTCTCTCTCTCTCTATATATATATATATATATAATATATATAGATATATTGTTTCTCAACCTGTATGTACTATACATATATCCACTGAAATTGCTTTGTAAAACAGTGGTTTCAATTTCGAATGATGCTTTTCAATTTTATTTTTTTTAGGGTTTCGTCGCCAAGCCGGAGGCTGCTGCAGATGGTTCGGTCAATTTGATGATATGGCATTGCACCATCCCTGGCAAGCCTGGGGTAAGTTTTCCTCTTTTTTTCTTCGGTTTTCCTGAGAAAATTGATGTACAGAGAACAATAATTTAAGAATAGACTTGGAATTTAAGATTTACTTGGGACATTTGTGTCTCAATTTGGGTCTATACTACCTCAATTGAAAAACCCAACAATGTTTTCCAATGATATGTATAGTGGATTGTTGCTTTAAACTTGTGTTATTTCCTGTATTTAGTATTGTTCTGTTCTTTGTTGTTGTTGATGATGTTGGTATTTCAGGCTTTTGAAATTGCAAAAATGCACATATGCAATGGAACCGTCCTTTTGAGTTGAATAATTGCATTCAGTTTTTCATTGGATCATTTTGACTGATTGAGTTTGCAGTTTTTTGTTTATGGGCATGAATGCATGCTTTGAAGTGGATCAGTTTCTCTGTCATGCGGCAGATTTCTTACCTTGGCTGTATAAAGGTTACCTCTTTATTCTTTTATGATCACTTCAATGAAGGTGGCATTCACATTGATTGGTTATTGATTAATAAAACTGTCGTAAAGAATTTGTTTGAGGTGTTACAGTGTCCCAGATCCTTGAATATTCAATTATGATGCATTTTATTGGATTGTTGGGCTTATTAGCAGCTTAGTTTTTTACTAACTTATAATTAATATGAAATAGAATATCACAAGTATAAATTATTGAACACTGGGTGCAACGCAAAATTAATGTTTGTTTCCAAACCTATTGTTTTCATAAAAGAAGATCAATTTAGGAAATGTCTTGCAAAAGGAAGTCAACCGGCACCTCTCAGCCACATGTTTACATGGTATATGTATATCACGGGGACCTTAGAATGCACAATAACAGTTTCGTCACTGGTCTCTCAAGTGCTTTTGTAGTCTCAAAATAAATTTATTCTCATGGTTCTGTTTTTGTTATTCCTTTGCACAAATGGATTATTTCCACTATAATGCTTTCTGTTTGTCAGACTACCTATTAGTTAGTTTCTGTTCTTAGTATCTCTCCATTGTGTCAACTCTGCAAAAATGTGTTAGCATGAAATGCTAGATATAGCTTGTGGTCTGCTCTGAAATTTGGTTAGTGGGCAGTGTTTTTAATCACTTGTTTGTCTATAGCTCTATGACCTTGTTCTGAAATGAAACTCTATTTTTCTGTGACTTAAGTTAGTTATACCAGCAATGCTTATTCTTTTTCTGAGAACAAGTTGATGACCCTCAACAATAATCATGGAGAAAGATGTTTATTATATATATATATATATATATATATTTGTATTTTCATGCAATATCAATGACGAAACGCCAAAGTTTTTATTTTTATTGGTGAGTGTTGTGTCTTCTGTCTTGGTTTTTTCATTTCTTCCCTTGATTCTCCAAAATTCCAAGAGTTTTCCTTGTTTCAAAATTTTTTTTTTTTTTAATAAAAATTCTCCCTTTGCTTTTATATCTGTGTGTGTGTGTGTGGATTTGTTTTTGGATTTTGGAGGTTTGTAGCTTGAGAATTTGTGTCGGTTGGGTTGTTGGAGGCTAGAAGCATTTTGGCCTCGTTTGGTTTGTTTTTTAGAAAATTTTTTGGGAAAAATTCTCTTCAAACAAATTTTCAAGAGTAATCAAGCCAAACAAATTTTTTCAAAAAAAATCTCAAAATTTTGTTTGGTGACCTACTTTCCAAAATTACTCTCTTTCTCATACGCGTCAAATCAATCACTTTTTTTAAAACTCTCTCCCCAAAATAATTTTCCAAAATCATTTCTAAAAAAAGACAAACCAAACAAGTTTTCGTACTTTTTACCTAAAAAACTACTCTACAGACACAAACCAAACACACTCTTTATTTTTTACAATATTTTGCTATTATCTCTGTTACATGGACTTGCTGGTTTAGGGCAGAGTATCCGTGTTGACACTACACGACACGACACGGGTGCGGGTGTGAGATATGTGTCGGATTCGACATGGGTTTCTCGGACACGGCTAACATGAGAGGAGAAAGAAAAAGGATTGTTGAGAGAAACTTACAGTGGACCAATGGTAGCAGGAGGGTGAAGATCTATGTCGATCTGTGTCGTCTTCTCTGTCTTCATTTGTGCCGATCTCCTCTTCTCTCTCTGTCTTCATCTCTCTCTGTCTTCTCTTCTTTATCATCTCCTCCTCCTCCTTGTCTTCTTCTTCTTCTTCTTCTTCTTTTTCTTCTCTCTCTCTCTCTCGTCGATTTGTGTTCTCTATCTCTCCCCCTCCCGTTTTTAACGTATAATTAATATAATTTATTATATAATAATAAATTTAATTAAATCATATATAATAAAAAAAATCTAATAAAATCTATAAAATAAATCATCCAATTTTTATTTATTGTTTATTTTAACACGTTTTTTTATTCCTTATTTGTTATTTTTTTTATTGATAATATATATATATATATATCAATGAAAAATAATAAATAAATTATATGAATAAATTAAACATATTATCAATAAAAATAATACATACGATAAAAATAATAAATATATTTAAAAATAGCTGTTTAACTCATCTTTATATAATAACTATATTTAAAAAATAACTATTTATCGTATCTTTGTACCCGTATCCAAATTTGGATCCATATTCATGCATCTTCAATTTTTAATTTTGAAGTATCCGACCCTTAGATACACACTCGCATCTGCTCCCGATACCCACACCCGAGTTCGTGTGACATGGGTTATTATAGGATTTTGGGTAATGACAATGAGGGTGAATTTCCAGATTGCGAATGATAATGATTTTATAAATAGTAAGGAGATCGTAAGATATAAAAAGTGATTCTGCGGCTATTTGCTAGACATGTAGGTTATGTGCAAGTGAAAGCCTCAATACATTTAACACAGTCATACAGAGTTTCCCTTTGATTTTTAGAGAAAAACTGTGGCCTTAGTAAGACAAGCCAATGTGTGTGGTCATTTTGTTTGTTACATTCCCTAGCTTCTTCACAATTAATGCTGAGTATCTTTGTCAAGGAATTGCATTGTGCCTTGATGGATGTACATGAGAGCCAAATTCTACATAACCAATTAGAATTGTTTCTTGGTGTTGCAGTTTTCTTGTTAAAAACCTAATCCTTTAACTAGCACATTATTGCTCTTGTTAGAGGATATAATATAACTAATCTTAAAATTTCCAAATATCAAATATCAATTTGCCCAGGTAGGAGTTTGTTCCTCTGTAGGACACCAATGATATGCTGTGATGTGAGGTATGGAATTGATTTGAAATCTGAGTTCATTTAAGTTAAATTTAATTGAGCTGCATTGAAGTGTAATTTTCTTCTGTTTGGGTTGGTATAATTAAGTTCTATAATTGATTGTGGTGGCTGTAGTCACGGTAATAGCAAAGGAAGCCAAAGAGGATCTGTCTATTAATTTGGTGCCCTAGAATTCCTAGTGGAGTTGGTTGTGGTGGTGAGAGTTGAAATCACTGCTAGGGTGTTGGTATTGGTGGTGGACCTGTAGCGGTGAGATCTGTTCCTTCTCCCCTTCCTTCGGTGCGAAGCTGAAAGGGTGGCAACATTACTCTGGCTGCATTGTTAATCTGTGTCATTCCAAATATTTACAACATGAGCAGTAACATTGATTATTGGTGCTTTGCATTGTTGGCTTAATGCATTCTTAGAAGCTTGCACTTTTTCTTTTGCTTTAGCCAGCCGTTAAGAACTGTTGAGTTTGAATGAGTTAGAACTCATGGATGCTAGATGCTGACTGCTGTTTTAAGTGGTCATTTGGTATTAGTAATCAACATAACTCTTTGATAGATATGTCATTGTCCACCTTGGGTCATGCATGAAGATGATTGAACAGGAACTAAGTAGGAAGTGTGATCTTAGTAATAACCCTTTTTATTGTTGTAGACTGACTGGGACGGTGGCTTCTATCCGCTGACACTCCACTTTAGTGAGGACTACCCTAGCAAACCTCCAAAGTGCAAGTTCCCTCCAGGTTTCTTCCATCCAAATGTCTACCCTTCTGGAACTGTATGTTTGTCCATCCTCAATGAGGACAGTGTAAGTATTCATCTCTTGGGCTTTTTTTTACTTTTTACTGATCTGTCTGCTGGGTGCTTATAGCTACGAGTAAAAGCCACAGTCACTCATCTTGTTTGGTGTTTTCTCTAGGGATGGAGACCAGCCATTACTGTGAAACAAATTTTAGTAGGCATTCAGGATTTGCTGGACCAGCCCAATCCCGCTGATCCAGCACAAACTGATGGTTATCAGCTCTACATTCAGGTATTCTGCTCACTTGAAATCTCAAATTATTGATTCTTTTGAAGGCCCAATATATCATCCGCTGAATTTAGTATTGTTTGTGAATGTTGAATATATTATTCCAAATAATGGCGTACCATGATATTTGCAGGAACCTGTTGAGTACAAGAGAAGGGTGAGGCAGCAGGCTAAGCAGTACCCGCCTCTTGTCTAATGTAGTGTCTGCTTTTGTGTGGTAGTTTTTATCGACTGATAGTTATCTTTTGTTAGATTGTGGTTAATTATGATTGATGGTTCTATTTGATATCCAAATAGCTCAGGGCCGCTTAAAAACCTGGTTGTCTATATCAGTTATGGAGATGTATGTTTTGTCATATGGTATGCTTTGTATTGCTATATGGTGATGTGATGACTGTTTCAGGATTCATTAATATCATGGAAACTTCAAGCTTTAGCTGTTGTTTTCTAATGCTGGATAAAAATGTGCTAAATTTTGTGTTTAACAAATTACACTGATTTAGAAGCAGTGGATATAAACAAATGATAAAATGTGTTAGTTTTGCCATGTTTGTCATTGATCAATCCATAGAATGTTGGAGGGTTGGGAATGGTTGGAAGAGTTTGTTTACTATAAGGAACTGGCAAGATTTTCCAAACTTTCTAACATATAATAAAATTGTATATTCACTTATATTTTTTGAAATTTTGTGTTAGTGTGTCCATTTCATGTCTATATTTGTATTGTGTCATGGATCCATGATTCTTAGGCCCTAGTTGCACAAACGCCGGAATGGTTGAAAGCCTCCAACACCTGCATATTATATAAATTGGCATTGTATATTCAATTTGGACTGTCACCATGACCAAATGATAATATTTTTAGAGGGAAATGTGTCACTTTATTTTTTAAATTATCAATGTGAACAATTACTCCCGGAAACCATTATATCATTAGATCACTTTATACCAAATCGTCAATGGGGTTAAAATATTTTTGACACAATATCACAACTATCAGTACAAAAAAAATGTGTGGGCACGTAATTAGCTTAATTTGGTTGTATGTAGATGCAGTTGGTTGCATTTTGTGTTTCATTAAATATTTTTTAAAATATCAGTTGGGTATTGTTGCATTGTATTTCAATATGACTAATGGTATATGTATTAATTAGTATATTAACTAGTGTATAAATTCACGATCTGTCATAATTTAAGATGTTTTGATATTTATAATTTGTATAATGAGTAGGGTCAATAATAATGTCATAATTAGTATTGTATATTAGTTAGTATACTAATTGGTATACGTACCACCACTCATTAAAATTTCCCCTTTTACGCTGTGTTTGATTGGAGGATTTGAGGAGGAATTTGGAAAGGGAATGAGAAAGTTTAGGTAAAATGTGAATAAAATATACTTACATTTCACTTAGTTTCACACACTTTTTCCCTTTCCCTTTCCAACTCTCTCCCTAAATCTCCAAACCAAACATAACATTAAACTATTTGGACAGTCTCGAAAGTCCTATCTCTGAATCTTGCATACTCATAAATCTTATGTTTTTTCTTATGATCACATAACTTCTATCACTTTGCTTGGTTAGAGATTTTCAATAATATTTTTCGGAAAATTTTACTTTCTTATTTTCTGTATTTTTTTATTTTTACTGAATTTTTTTAATATTTTAAACATTTTTTTTAAAATTTTTTTAGACATAGCTAACATAAATATACTTAAAAAGTAAAAAAATTATGAATTTTTTTTTAAAAATTCACTAAATACCAAAATTATTAAAAAAAACGAGAATTCAATACATTTTTTTTTGTATTTTTATTTATTTATTAATTTTTAAAAATATTTTTTCACAATTTTTTTTACTTTTTATATACATCTAAGTAAGGTACATCTAAAAAAATAATAAAAAAAGTTTAAAATTTTAAAAATATTCACTAAAAACAAAAAAACACGAAAATAAAAAAACTCAATTTTTAAAAAACTTAATCCAAAAACCCAAACCAAACACACTGATTATTGTTTTCCAAAGGTATTCCATGAGATCCTTTTAGATTTATTTTATATTATATTAAATTTTTTTACTGTTTTTCAAATGTAACACTTTAATATGACAAATATGATGTGACATTAAGTACGTTTAGAAGGTCTGCTAAAAAATTTCTTAGTGTATTTTTTTGAAATATAACACTCAAACAAACGAAAACTTTTTAGTGTACTTTTTTTGAATGTAACACTCTAATATAACATTTGAACAAGAATAATGCAATATGTACCAATTAATGTACTAACTAGTATGTCGATGTGACATAGTTTTAGAAGTTTTGAGTATTTGTAATTTGTATAATAGTTGAGGTCAGCAATAATGACATAACACTAATTGGTGCATATAGTACCACCGAATTTTAATATATACCCTTTTAAAAAGGTGTTACTATATGTACTTTTAATTATATTTTTATTTTTATTTTTTATAGTTATAATTAATTTTCTTCTTTAATTATGATATTATTTTAATTATGACTTATGAGTTTTTTAATTATACTTCATGTTATGTTATGTTTAGTTTAGTTATAATATATATATATATATATATTTTAGTTATGACTCAAAAAATTAAAATTATATTATTATTTTTTAATTATAAGATGTATATAGTGTGTAATTTTTGAAAGGGTCATCATAATATTTCCGTTTAATAAGAGAGGAATTGTTCAAATTAACAATTCATTATAACCTCGTTTGGGAATAGGATAATTTAATAATTTTTTGGTTATTTGATTAAAATATGAGTTAAAAAAATTAGTATGCTTGGGATAACTTTTTAGCTTTTTACGAAAAGATGTGTAAAAAGTAGAGAGAAAAGAAAATCTTTGACTTTTTGCTATGAGTTATTGACTTTTGAACTAATTTAATAATTTTTTAATTAAAAAAAAAAATTCCCAAACGAGGCCTACATGGCATTGGTGTGAAAGAACAAAATGATTTATTTTCCCTACTTCTAGGTAATAATATACCAAGCGGGTAGATGAACCCTTGCTCAATAATGATAAGTTTAGACAAGCAACTAGTCTCTGCTTCCAAAAGAGGTGTATGCTTTTCATAAAACAGGAACAATTCAGAGCTTTTTTTTTGGTAAGAACATTGGAACTAAGCTAATTATGTAAGATAAAATATGTTATTTTAATTAAATAAAATAAAATATTATATTTAATTTATAATTATTTCATTTATTCTCTTATAAAAATTAAAAAAGTTAAAAAGTTTATCTCAAATGAGACTTTTTAATCTCAAGCTAAAATAATCAAAAAATCAAAAGCTAAAAAGTTAATCCATATCCCAAACGAGCTCTCAGTGTGTTTGATTTCAGTTTTCTGAATTTAGTTTTTAAAAAATTAAATTTTTTACTTTTCGTGTTTTTTTGTATTTAGTAAATATTTTTAAAATTTTAAACAAATTTTTTTTTTACTTTTTTAGATACACCTTATTTGGATGTATCTAAATAATAAAATATTTGTGAAAAAATATTTCAAAAAATTAATAAATACACAAAAATATAAAAAATGTATTGAATTTTTGTATTTGTTTTAGTAAATTTTTTAAATTTTTTTCAAAAATATTATATTTTTAAATATATTTATGTTAAGTGTATTTAAAAATTAAAATAATTACTTGAAATATTAAAAAAATTATTAAAAATAAAAAATACAAAAAATAAAAAATATATGTATTTTTAAAATCAAAATCAAACAAGGTGGTTGATGTTTTCGGTTGAGTTCTACTGCTTCACAAGTCAAATTGAGCACAACTTTTTTTTATATAAAAAGAAGAGCCACTTATTTTCTTCTGCTTTACAAATCAAATTGAGCACAACTTTTTTTATATAAAAAGAAGATCCACTTATTTTCTACTGCTTCACAAATCAAATTGAGTACAACTTTTTTTTTTTATGTAAATAGAAGATCCACTTCACATTCATGATGGATCTGACATATGAGGTTGGGATTCTATCTTACGTGAGATATTATTTTTATGAATAATAATGTCAAGAATAGAAAAATTAAATATAAAATGAGACATAATTTTTTTTTTATAACGGGTTGATTTTAATTGTGGGACCTATATATTTCTTGTGAGAAAATTGTATCTCATTTTGTGTTTAGTATCTATGCACATAAAATTATTCTTTTGGGATTGGCTTTTATCCAGTCGGATGTATTGTCTAGCTCATTAGGCTCACTTTTGGATCTCATTTCGGTAATTTAAACTATTTATATTTTAGGGTTCGTTGAGTACATCATTCTTGTAAAAAAATCAAATAAATTGGATAATGAAAACCACGTATTCGGATTAGTTTTGTATGAAAAAAATGAACGGTGAGAAAATTGGTTCATAAAAAATTGATCCGAATATGTAATTTCTGTTATCTGATCGACTTTATTTTTTTCAGAGATAATGTATTTGACGAATTCTAAAATGTGAACAGTTCAGATAATCAAAACGAGACCAAAAAATAGATCCAACGGGCCGAATTGAACTATCCAATCCGATTTCAGACTTGAGACAGTCTGCATCCATTATTTATTTTTGCTTCTAGGACAAATCCGTGTCGGTGTCCTAACTTATCATTCATTGGTTAAATTAATGGAATTTAATACTTTAGTTTGATTTATACGTAGTAACTTGATAAAATGTCTAGTAATAAATAGGGGAGCTTCTATTTGCACACACCATTTTCACTCTTTACACATTCTTCTCACTACACACACCTAAAAATTAATTCTCAATTATTTTACTCATTGTACACACCTTTTATTCCACATTTACCCACATACACACACACACCCAGACCCCCAAATCTAGCTCTCCGAATGGTGCAAATACATACCCATTGAAGCTGCATCTCGCACACACGTCAATCTTTCACACGTCTCTCACACCTCACACAAGTCCATCTCTCACACCTTTCGTCCCCAAAAGCTTATTGAAGACATCTCATTGAAGGATTGAAGAATCTCATTGAACCATTGAAGGAATTCTTCACATTTGAAGAACTTAGGTTAGTTTACTTATTTCAATCCTCATTGTTATTTCATTTGTAATGTAGGGTTTGTTTTTACTATTTTTGAAATGAATGAACGCGCAGTCCACGGAAATGAGCAATCTGTTCCTCATTTGGAACTGGTTTTCCAAAAATAAACAACTTGTTCGAAAGTAGCATTCCGAAAATTATCATTTATTTCAACTGTAGAATTTCGAAATTTTTTCATTCTTTCGACATTCAACTTCCGAATATATTTAATTCGGACAACATTCAACTTCCGAAATGAATTTGGTTTTTCAGTTTTCAACTTTCGAACAGCAATGTGTCCCACCTACTGCTTCAAATAGACGACGTCGTGAATTGGATGTTGACCATGAATGGGGACGAAGGTGTGGGTAAGGACGAGGTCGGG